ACATACATCATATACTTTCTCTTTGCTTATACATTTCACACTCTTTTCCCAACCTTGCTATTTTTCTCTTATTCCGTGCTTGATTTCCACCTCAAATCCATGGACAGACAATGGCTTCTTTGTATATGTGGAACATGCAGCAGTTCTTGGGCCTAATGTTTTGCTGTAGTAGGCTAGAGGTTGTTCATTTTGCATAAGAGTTTTCTTGGTGAAGTGCATCACAGGCTTATTTCGTTTTCTTGTATCTTTCTCAACCTGCAGGAATTCGATCAGTGGGGGGGCCCAGTCGTCCATTTGGCGGCAGACGAGGAGGAGGACGATGACGACTAGTCGTAGGTGAGGGGATTCCATAACCTAACCTTTCCCTTTCTAGAAGAAGCAAGTAGGCATGTTTATTCAGATAATTCAGTTCCTCTATTTGGTCGTATTTGCTGCCAGTAATATTTTTGTTTGTAAAACTAGTAAAAATTATGGAACTTAAAATACAAAATCAGTTGATTTATCTCTTCAGCCTTAACAGAAAAGATTTAGCCCATTTTTCTTGTGTTGAATAACCTGGGAACAAAATTCCGGTTCCTATACAATACCAAATTAAATCTAATTTATGCACATGAGCTGTATTTCTTGGTCTTGTTATTTTATTTTATTTTTCCAATACTCCGAGAATTAGATTGTTTATTTTCTTCGGTGAGAAAAAATGTAGTAGTGGTCTTGAATCTGTTTTGCACAAGCGTACAGATGTTGGTGTAGATACTATTTGCTGCATAAACATGATATTTGGAGTCTTACTTTAGTGGAGTGCTCATATGATTGTGCTTGGAAAACGATTCTATGATAGGTTTTGTTAGGATTTGGGACTTGTCTGAAACTGTTGTAGTCTTGTACAAAAGCAAAAGCAGTTGCTTGGGAGGTGCCATGTCGATATAAGAGTCTTTCTGCACATGACAAAAGATGTTCTGCAGCAAGTAAAACATACTGATTCCACATTTCTGTCGTTCATTCAGATAAGTATCATCTGCTGCTAGCAGAAGTTATGGAACCTACAAAGCCAAGTTGTTATTACCTCAGGTTTTATCTTGATCAAATTGTTATTTATTATTAATTTGTCAATGCAGAGTACAGCGGAGTCCTGACAGTTCACCTCTTCAAAAGTTTTCGCCCCTCGGAAACGATGACAGCAGAACTGAACGCCTCCTTTTGGCATGTAGATAGATAGGTTCAGGTTCGGAAAGCTCAGCAGCTGTGGTATTCAGAAAACTCAGCAGCCAAACTTGCTTCAATCTTATTTTGTCTTGCGGTTCTATGATGTTCTTGCAGCGAGTTGATGATGCTACATTCCTTTTTGATGGATGCATTTTTTTGCATAAATGGAGAATATGGTGGTTCTTTGATGGAGGCATTTTTGCATAAATGGAGAATGTAGTGGTTCTTGCAGTAAACTGGTGATCATGTATTTCTTTTAGATGATACATTTCATGTAGACAAAAAAAGTAGTTCGTTCTTGAGTGAACTGATGATTCTGGTTTCCACTGCGTCGTTTTGATCTTGTTTCTCTATGTGGGGGTTCTTGCAATGAGTCGATGATCCTGCAATTTTTTTAGACGATACATTTTGCGTAATTGGAAAATGCAGTGAGGTTTTCCCTTGAGTTGCTGGTATATTTGTAGCAGTGCTTTACGAACAAAATTCAGATTTTATCCAACATCACTGTTTTCAGGTTTTGTACATAAGCTGCCTTCTTTTTCTTTCACTTTTGCTAATTTTCAGTTGACTGTTTCTTATTTTGCTCTCAGTCGAATTTCCAGCGGCACGATCTGTCTTTGTGATTCACACTGGGTCTTGTGTCCAGTGTTCTTTTTCCGGTTTGTCTTGGTCAATCCGTTTTGATTCTGCGCCTGTTTTTCCTGGGTTTTTTTCATTGGTTGGTTCATTCACATCTAGCACTGGGGATATAAGAGCAGTGGAGAGAGGGCTAGATGGACGGCGGGAGCTGACCTTCTTCCCAAACGATCTGTTCTGCGTCGTGGTGCGGGGGCGAGGTGTCGGGCGGCGCCTAGCGACAGCGCTCCAGTATTGCTTTCCCGTTCCTCGAGTGGGCGCCGGCCTACAGGCTGGGCACCTTCAAGTCGGCCCTCAACGTCTGTATTTCTTCCCGTTACTGGGTGTTTGTCTCCGGTCTGGCGGTCTCCATGACCGATCTCTTTACTTTTAAGAGCGGTGGAGAGAGATGCGACATGGCGAGCGGGAGCCGGGTGAGACTGTCAGGAGCTGCCGGCGTCGCCGTAGGAGGCTGGTTTCTGCACCCACATTTCCTCTATGTTTATGTCATCAAGGATGATTTGTTGTTGTTTTGATTCTGTGCTAGCGGAGTCGCAATGTCGTTGATTGGGGAATTTAGATATGTAGTTTCATCCCTGTTTTCTCAGTTTCAGTTGCTCACGTAGGTTGGTTTCGCAATGCCTCCTAAGGAACTTGTTGATGTAACTAAGATAGTTAGACATCCTCCTGGATGTTTAATTAGTGTTAAATGTGCCATTTATTTAGTAAATTCATTCCCCCCTTTTTGAGTTGGGCCATGCATAAGTGTGTGCTTATTGTACTATTTTGGCTCAGTAGCATTAGGATTGATTTTTTGTCCCTTCTCTTTCAAGATGCCCTGTTCCACCAAAACTATTTAAGTGCAATATCTAACTTTGCCGAATTCTTCGGGCTTATCTCCATAAGAGTGGCTTACTTTTTTTCATCATCAAAGAACTGTCCAGGGGCGTGGAAGCTAGCTATCCATGTGCCTGAACCATGAGTTGGTTGCGAGATCTTATGGGTTTCAGCTCTAGCATACCACAACTTGTTTGGGTTAAAGGCAAAATTACCTAGACTAAATTTCATTTTATCATTCAGTTATATGAGTGAGAATACGAAACTGCAGACAAACAACGACAATAAGGAGACTATAAACTGAATATAGTATACTCACCTTCTTTATGTCTTCTCATCTTTAGTTATTTGTTCACTAATTCTTCATCATCTTTGCCTTGTCTTTAATTATCTTTGCCTTGCATTTCATTATTTTTGCCTTTTCTAGTTGTCTTTCATCAGTCCTCGGTCTCTCATTCTTCATTTTGTTTCATCAGTCACGTTTTTATGTCTTCACATTTTTGGTTGTTTTCTCAGTATTTTTCCCGTTTGTACTTCCTCAGTTTTTATTTAGTTCGCATATTAGCTTTGGTCAAAATCAAGCTTTACAAATTTTGACCAAGTTTATAAACAAAAATATTAAGATATACAATAACAAATCAACAACATTAGATTTATTGTTGAATGTACTTTCACGTCGTATAGATTTATTATGATAAATGTCTATATTATTTTCTACAAACTTGGTCAAACTTTACTAGGTTTGACTTTAGTCAACCCTAATATGCAGAGTAAATAAAAATGGAGGGAATATGTCTTTCATCAGTTATTTTGCCCCTCAGTCTCCAGTCTATATTTCTTCTTGGGTATGTATTTGTCCCTATGCCATTCTCAGTATTGGACACTTATCTCTATCTTTTATTGGTTGGATCTGTGTGAGAAGAAAGATTTGATGATGGATGTAGACACACTTTTGCCATTGATTAGAGGGCGTTCGCTCGTTCAGCTCTAAATGAACACACTCTTTGCTCATGCTTAAACCTGGGAATAGTTTGGATTGAAACTTTAGTTTCAGTTCGGTTTTCCTACAAGACTGTCTTTGGATTGGATTGAATGGGCTGAGCCCCTAGCGTAATCTGGTGCGGTCTGGGTTTTGTGTATTGTTGGATTAGTTTGGTTCGGTTTGGACACAAACAAAATGGTTTCAGACTGTTTCAACCCACGGTCAAAGACCAAATCCAGCGACCAAACTGTATTTCGAGATGGGGGCGCGCTTGCGCACGACGCAGGCCTAGCGCATGCTGCGAGTTCACTTTCGTCCCGATGTTCGCACCTAGCAGAGGCGGAGGCTGCCGCGAGCGCGTCCCCGGCGGTCGAAGCCCTCGGCATCTCGGCGCAGCACGGAGTGCGACGACAGCGGCGTCCATCCTGGAGCTCCAGGAGATGAGGTCCTGACGGCACCGCATGGCCCAACGTGCATGGCAACGATGGGACCGGTCAACCTGCACCGCACCGGCCGTACGTGCCGCACGGCTGTTCGACGAGGACAGGTCGGACACGCTGATCGTCCCGCCGGCTGCTGCTGGCGGTGCCGGTGCCGGAGATGCAGAACGTTGGTGCATCTGAGCCACACGAGGTCGCTGCCGGTGTCGACGAGGGCCAGCATCCGAGTGCGCGGCGTGCCGACGTTGACGTACATGAAAAACTGGAACGTGCCTGAGATCACCTCCGACACCGCGCCGTCAGCGTTAGGAGAGCCCGAGCCGGCGTACGAGCGCCGCAAGACGGCAAGCAGGCGGCGACCTGGGGGCTGGGGGAGTCGCGGTGGATGAGCTCCACGCTGAACCCGCCGTCGGTGCACCCACACAGCAGCGGCGTCAGGATGAGGAAAAGGCCAAGGAGCAAAAGGGGGCGACACATGGTACACGCCATTGCTTTGTCGGTGTCACTAGCGGCGTGATGGCGTGTGAAATCAGCTGGTTCTACTTCTACCTCCCCTGTGTGTTGCGCTCGCTGATTCCAGTACAGGATTCTTACTAGAGTACCAGTCCGTTAGGTACGCATGTGCATATGGATCTGTCTATGGTTTCAATCTGTGGATTCCATCCAAAAATAGGAGACAGTTTGGATTGGTTTGGGTGAAAAGCTCATACAGTTTGGTTTGGTCTAGACTCTAGTCAGCAAAGTTTGGTTTGATTTGGTTTCGATGATGGACATGCAGTCCTATAGTTTGGCTTGGATTTAGTTTGGATGTCAAACTATTCCCAGGTTTAGGAGTCAGGTCCGATCGCCAAAACTGCAACGCTGAGCCTACCAATACGCCCCAACGCCTCCCGCTTTACCGGACTTCCAAGTCCGCTGCTGACATGCCAATGTTTCGTCTCATACGACCACGCATGGCCGGCGGCGAGGACCGCCTCAGTGCACTACCCGACGACCTCATCCGCCTCATAGTAGGCAGGCTGGACACCCGCACCGCACTCTCCACCGCCGTCCTGGCCAGGCGTTGGGCGCACATCACCAGCGATCTGGCGGAGCTCGACTTCACGGTGAGCGACATACTCCCGACCGAGTACGACCGGACCGTCGCCCTCCGCCGGCGCAACATGCCGCGTGACACGTTTCTGGCCGAGATGCTGGACTGTCTCATGGCGCGCTGCGAAATCGACACGATCACGGCGTTCGTTGACGGCATCACTGGATTCTTGGAAGCGGACGGTGGCCCAGCTGACGGCGACGCACGCCGGCGCGCCAAGACCCTGCGTCTGGAGTTCTTCCAGACACACGACGGCGGCTGCGTCGTCGACCGCCTGATCGCCGCCGCAGTAGGCGCATGGGGAGTGGAGGATCTGGAGGTCGTTGCCCGGCAAGCGTCATGCGATGTCCTTCAGGCGCCGCCCTACCGCTTTCCCCACGACCATGACTGCCTCAAGGACGGCCTTCGCAGCTTGACGCTGGGTAACTACTGCACGCTCCCGCCGCTGCATAGCTACGGCGCTCTCACCACGCTGGTCCTGCGAGACATGGCTGCTTCCACGCCCCTCGGCGTGTACCAGAGGGTGTTCACTGAGTGCACACGGCTCCAGGTGCTTCGCCTGATATCCTGCTGTGCACATGACTGTGTGGTGGTGGACGCGCCGTGTTCAGAGATCAGGGAGCTCAGCCTCGACCAGTGCAAGTTCATGGAGGTCGAGCTGCGCCACCTTCCAATGCTTGTCCGCCTGGCGTGCTGCCTAACCAACACTACAAAACTCGTATTCGGCTCGGTCCCTAGCCTCATGCACACTAACCTCACATTTGCGGCAGAAAGCTTGATTGTCCCGAAGGGGTGCTGGGATTACTTCGGCCATTACACCATCGGTATGCCCCCTACCATGACGAATCTCGTCCTCCGCTTCACCGGGCTGAGAAGATGGATGTTGCCCGCTCCACCGGCCAAGCCATTGCTCAACCTCAAAAAGCTCCTTGTCGCCGATCTGCCTGCGAACTGGGACATCACATGGCCACGCCGCCTCCTGTTGGCCGCACCATCACTCGAGGTCCTGCACATCCATGTGCCTTGCTCGGAGGAGGAGCCAAATTACGGGAGCATGAGACTGAGCTCACTCGAGGCGCTTCAGCGCCATCACCACCTCAAGGAGCTGGCCATTACTGGATTCTTGCAGCGCCACAGATGGTTTTTGAAGTATGTTGTGAACGTGTGCACATCGTTGCAACGTGTTATCCTACTCAAGGATGATGGTCATGTTCGATACAATGAACTTTGGGATTGGGAGATGGTCGGGCAGCAAGCATGTCCTTGGAGCAATGATGATGAAATGGTCGTGAGGAGAATAATCCAATCTGGGTGCAAGCCTCTTGTTGAACTCAGCATGGGATGATCTTCACGGGCTTGGCATTGCAGACTTGGAAAGAGTTGGAAGGGATATTCGGCTTCGCTGGCCAAGGTTTGAATGAAACGACTACACGATAGGCCTTGGGTGGGATCAAATCTTGTGATGAGGCAGATATGGAACATTTTTGGGCCTCTGTTTCAACTGTGAAACGGAAGGAAGGTGGCATGAAGCTAGATGGGTAGGGAGCCATGCAATACCTCGCCCCGGATCGCCACCAAGAAGTGAAGGACAGTTTATTTCAAGCTTCAGGGCGAGGCTTGGCTGCGCGCGGTGGCAAAAATTAGCACCATTGAGCAACTCCGGTAATTTGTTCATCTTTAGGGAGTGCTCGCCACGGCCAACCTACATCCTGGTCATGATGATCCCACCACCTAGAATTGACGGCCAATGGTGTTTACTCGGCAGCCTCGACATATAATGTTCGACGCTTCCATGCTTTGGAACGCGCACATAGAGCCTAAATGCAAAATGTTCATCTGGCTTGTGCTTCATGGGCGCATCCTCACCGCTGATATGCTCGCGGTTCGGGGGCGGAAGCATGACCCCACATGCCAACTGTGCCTCCGTGCTCCGGAAACTGTGTCACATCTGTGCAAACCTTTCTCTGTTGCGGTAACAAACCGTGTCCACTGAGGAGAGCATCTTGTTGCAGTTAGGCACTCTTGGTTAGACACACTCTTCTTTTGTTGTCTTGTTGGTTAGACACACTCTTCTTTTGTTGTCTTGTCTTAACAACGTGAGATCAATGATATGCTGGAACGGTTGCAGCAGGTACAGAAAAAACTGAATTCCACATAAATGCTTATAGGTACAAAAAGGATTTCAATATAAAACTTTGACCACATTATCAGCCATTGTTCTTTTTCTTTTTGCGGGTGAAAAAACGGTATTACTATCACAATGTTCTTACAATCCTCAAACACCCAAGTCCATAACCATAGGAGGACCTGAACCGATCCACGTCATGGTTCTACCTTCAGTTCTACCAAAACTAGCCAGACAATTACTAGCCTTATTTTGACTACGAATAACATGAGTAATACAAGTTTCTCGAAGACTTAACAAATACTTGATTTCCTTCACCAGAGATGCATAGACGGATCTGTCTTCTTCACGCTTCTGGATCATGCCAACCTACGTGATAGCAATGGTAAGACAAACAAACGATGATTGAATTTGAATTATGAGCTGTGTCGGTGCAAAAATAAAAGAAAGACGCTAAAAATCGGCGTTGTGCTTAACGGTTGACACTAAAAATGAATTGAAAAAAGGGCATGTGTGTCCATTGTGTTTGTACCTTGTTTCATTTTACAACTAGAGAAAAAAATACACCCATCTAATCCAACCCTACATGTAAAGGTGAGTGTCCTAATATCCATCATCAAACCTCCAGGCAGAAAAACAAAACATAAATGAGAATAAAGAAACACTGAAAAAAAAACTGATATTTCAAAAAAAAACGAAACACTAACGCCCACACGTGTGGGCGTCTGGCAACTCGCCCACACGCATGGATCCTCGCCCAACCAATTCTGCACGAATCTTGACGTGTTCTAGCAGTTTTTATGTGCCACGTAGGACTAAGCTGGTGTGTGGGCATTCATCCGGTCACCCACACGTCCTTTTTCACCACACGGGGGGCTGGTGTATCGGCGTTCAGCAATTCGCCCACACATCAGTTTTCACGCACGCAGAGGGGGCTGGTGTGTGGGCGTTTATCACTTCGCCCACACGCCCGTCTCCTCGCCCACACCCAAAGCTGGCAGTTGCCATGTGTTTCTGTAGGGTACATGGCAACTGCCCTAGCTTTGCTTGTAAGCAGATGGCAACTCTCTTTTATCCAAGTTGCCATGTGTTTTTGTATGGTACATGACAACTGCCCTAGCGTGTACGTAAGCAGATGGCAACTCTTTCTCTTTACATGGCAACTGCCCTAGCGTGCTTGTGAGCACATGACAACTCTCTCTTTTACCCGAACATGTTTTTTGCCATGCCTTTTTTAGTGTTACATGACAACTGCCTAGTGTTAGTGGGTGGCAACTCCTAAAGTTTTGAAATCATGGCAACTGTAGTAGACCAGACCATACATGGCAACTGCAGTTGAGCAACCATGGCAACTGTAGTTATCCGACATGGCAACCGAAGTTCAGCGACATGGCAACTACAGTTAAACGAACATGGACGAGGGTCTGGACCATGGCAACTGCGGGACGCGCGGTGACTGTCACGCGGGGCGTGCGAGACCACGAGGTACGAGGCCTGACGTACGGGGCATGTGTACGTTATCTATTTCGCCAACACGCACGCATGTGAGAGGGATCGGGAGGGAAAAAAGAGGTGTGTGGGCATTACTTGTTTTGCCCACACGTAGGTGTATGGGCTGTTCCTCTTATACACCACACAAAATGTGTGGGCAGACCCCCTAACATCCACACGTGTGGCACTTATCGGCGTCCAAAAAAAACCACTGAATACTGAAGAACTGGAGATAGAGAGTAAACACGACTAAATAAACAAGACAGCACGGTGGCTGAATAGTAAGATGACTTGAAGAAACATTGAAAAATATAGGATTAAACACAGAGAAGAGCAGAGTGTTTATTTCTCTATTTGCAGATAGAGAAAAACAGAGTGTTTATTTCCCTATTTGCAGATAGAGAAAAACAGAGTGTTTATTTCCCTATTTGCAGATAAAGAAAAACAGAGTGTTTATATTCAGACTGAAAAATATATAATTGCAGACAGAGAAAAGCATGAGTAAACCTGGGAATAGTTTGACATCCAAACTAAATCCAAGCCAAACTATAGGACTGCATGTCCATCATCGAAACCAAATCAAACCAAACTTTGCTGACTAGAGTCCAGACCAAACCAAACTGTATGAGCTTTCCACCCAAACCAATCCAAACTGTCTCCTATTTTTGGATGGAATCCACAGATTGAAACCATAGACAGATCCATATGCACATGCGTACCTAACGGACTGGTACTCTAGTAAGAATCCTGTACTGGAATCAGCGAGCGCAACACACAGGGGAGGTAGAAGTAGAACCAGCTGATTTCACACGCCATCACGCCGCTAGTGACACCGACAAAGCAATGGCGTGTACCATGTGTCGCCCCCTTTTGCTCCTTGGCCTCTTCCTCATCCTGACGCCGCTGCTGTGTGGGTGCACCGACGGCGGGTTCAGCGTGGAGCTCATCCACCGCGACTCCCCCAGCCCCCAGGTCGCCGCCTGCTTGCCGTCTTGCGGCGCTCGTACGCCGGCTCGGGCTCTCCTAACGCTGACGGCGCGGTGTCGGAGGTGATCTCAGGCACGTTCCAGTTTTTCATGTACGTCAACGTCGGCACGCCGCGCACTTGGATGCTGGCCCTCGTCGACACCGGCAGCGACCTCATGTGGCTCAGATGCACCAACGGTTCTGCATCTCCGGCACCGGCACCGCCAGCAGCAGCCGGCGGGACGATCAGCGTGTTCGACCTGTCCTCGTCGAACAGCCGTGCGGCACGTACCGGCCGGTGCGGTGCAGGTTGACCGGTCCCATCGTTGCCATGCACGTTGGGCCATGCGGTGCCGTCAGGACCTCATCTCCTGGAGCTCCAGGATCGACGCCGCTGTCGTCGCACTCCGTGCTGCGCCGAGACGCCGAGGGCTTCGACCGCCGGGGACGCGCTCGCGGCAGCCTCCGCCTCTGCTAGGTGCGAACACCGGGACGAAAGTGAACTCGCAGCATGCGCTAGGCCTGCGTCGTGCGCAAGCGCGCCCCCATCCCGAAATACAGTTTGGTCGCTGGATTTGGTCTTTGACCGTGGGTTGAAACAGTCTGAAACCATTTTGTTTGTGTCCAAACCGAACCAAACTAATCCAACAATACACAAAACCCAGACCACACCAGATTACGCTAGGGGCTCAGCCCATTCAATCCAATCCAAAGACAGTCTTGTAGGAAAACCGAACTGAAACTAAAGTTTCAATCCAAACTATTCCCAGGTTTACGAGTGCGTGTGGGCGGGTTCCTAAATGCCACACGTGTGGGCGTTAATATTTCCCAAGATGTTTAGGAGCTCCTGAGAGTAAAAGAGATGTATCAAATCCCGATTCCCGAATAGTTTGGATTGAAACTTTAGTTTCAGTTCGGTTTTCCTACAAGACTGTCTTTGGATTGGATTGAATGGGCTGAGCCCCTAGCGTAATCTGGTGTGGTCTGGGTTTTGTGTATTGTTGGATTAGTTTGGTTCGGTTTGGACACAAACAAAATGGTTTCAGACTGTTTCAACCCACGGTCAAAGACCAAATCCAGCGACCAAACTGTATTTCGGGATGGGGGCGCGCTTGCGCACGACGCAGGCCTAGCGCATGCTGCGAGTTCACTTTCGTCCCGGTGTTCGCACCTAGCAGAGGCGGAGGCTGCCGCGAGCGCGTCCCCGGCGGTCGAAGCCCTCGGCGTCTCGGCGCAGCACGGAGTGCGACGACAGCGGCGTCGATCCTGGAGCTCCAGGAGATGAGGTCCTGACGGCACCGCATGGCCCAACGTGCATGGCAACGATGGGACCGGTCAACCTGCACCGCACCGGCCGGTACGTGCCGCACGGCTGTTCGACGAGGACAGGTCGAACACGCTGATCGTCCCGCCGGCTGCTGCTGGCGGTGCCGGTGCCGGAGATGCAGAACCGTTGGTGCATCTGAGCCACACGAGGTCGCTGCCGGTGTCGACGAGGGCCAGCATCCAAGTGCGCGGCGTGCCGACGTTGACGTACATGAAAAACTGGAACGTGCCTGAGATCACCTCCGACACCGCGCCGTCAGCGTTAGGAGAGCCCGAGCCGGCGTACGAGCGCCGC